TGTTATCACAAGAATAGAAATGACAAAGGCGGTGAAAATGGCTAGTGCGTTCACGCGCACATAAGCAAGCAAAGCGAGTGTCCTGAAATTGTTCACAGATAAATTAAATTCCGCCTCCTAGAGTAAAATTTTAGCAAGGGGGATATATAGTGGAGAAAATAACGAAAATGCGAATGAAATGGTAAAAACCTGCCAAAAAAACTTTTTCACGTTTCTGAAAGCAATGCTGGACGTCCCCCGTTGGCATCGTGCCACAACAGCTACGATAGGCACAGCTGCATTTGTGTACATATATCCATAGAGCACCCAGGGTAGAGCACTTGTTGTGAATCACTAGAGGAATCGTAATTTTTCTAGTTTTTTCTCTTGCTTATTCTGGTTTCTCTTCTTTCTTCTTCCCCTCTCCTCCCCTCCCGCTCGACGGAAAATTTTTGTGAAAAAAAAACTGGAAAATGGGGAAATTTGTAGGTAGGTGTTGAGGAAGAGAGGTCTTATTGAGACTCTCGTTGAGGCCGCCTAACGCCCGCTGCGCTCGCGGGGTCCGTAAGAGGAGTGTGGGGAGCTGTACCATACACCATCACATGTCCGATGCTCTGCGATGACCGCTCCAAGCGCTCATAGCAATCCCTTCTTTCATAACCGTACTTCGACAGACAGTGATTGCGAGCATCAGCACTTGTCAGACATGAGGCGTGGTGAGCATCTGGGTCGGTATGTTGCAGCTTGATAAGGACGAATGACGCACCTCCCTTGGAAAGGCGCCACGTCGCGCCTGTTCAGGGGCGCCGTCCTGGTAGGTGCATTAATCCTTCACGTCTGGGATTTATTCGTCCACACTGGCCTTTTGATGGGGTAAATCACATCGAGCAAATAATGCACGGCAACGCTGAATATATAAATTGGACGAAACGTGTGCAGCCAACTTTATGCTCTATTAATCATCTAGTGAAACAAAAAAATGCCGAAAAGTCTAAAACTCCAAAAAAGACTACTATTTGGAGCAAACTTTACGATATGCCTGACAGAAATGTTCTCCGTGCGTGATGTTGACTACGGCTAGTGCCGCTTGGACTCCAATTTCGGCACCAAGCTCATTTTAATTTGCCTAACCATAAGTCACCCAATCCGCTAAAAGCTTGTATATAGGGCCCCCAGCTGTCGAAGCATAGCGGTTTCTATATACGTCTGGACATGCGCGAGGATAGGGGTTTAAGACCATTGATTAGACTAATGCCTCCGATGCTCCGCCAACTTGCGGCCAGCTCCCCGAATGCTAAATTAATCAAAAACCTGTGTGCGAGTTGCTCAGCCATAAAAAGACTTTGACTTCAACGGTAAGACTCTTTTCATATTATCTCGTTGGTGAGAATAGGCGGCTTCTGAAGAAGATTGCAGAAGCATGTAGATCAGTTGCTCTTGAGTTTTATCACTCGTGACCAGCTTCGATTTGGTTTGTGGCATTAGCAACACCTCAAGTGTTATCCGCATCAGGATTTTGCATTTTAGTTTTATTCAAAAGCGCAATTAAGACCTGTGCTAGTCCAGGGATCGCGCGCGAACCGGTTTAGTTAAGCGGGATCGGGAGTCATTGGTCCGGGCATGGAGGATTGTTAGCCTTAGCTACCGCCACCTGTCTTCCCCTCCCCGTGCATGCTTCGGAATACCGCTACGCTTCGGACAGCTGGGGGGACTCATTCCCGGACATGCCGAAGGACGCTGAGCGTACGTTGTCGTCTTGAATGACGTGACAAGAGCAGCAAGCTCACCATTCGTTTTGGAATACAATTCGAAGAATTGATCCGACAGCAGAACGAATGGATTCCATGATAGTAAGCCGCACGGTTAGCCATGCAGAAATTCAATATGAAACTGGTTAGTTAGCTGGTGAGCTTGCTGAAGATCCACCGGGAACACGTGCGGTGCAATCAATTCTATTAAAGAACCACATCAAGTTTTAAAATGAAAATACTGGCTGCTTTTTCGCTAGGCACACCGGACGGAGAAGATCCTGTTACAACAACCTCAGCGCAGGTCAAGGCCTGTTTCGGGCCACGATAATCGCGGGTCTCGCCGTCGAAAATGCTGCGGGGCGCACTGTAGACACGCGTTTCTTAGTCGGACAGCACGCGGCACGATCGCGGGCGACTCGCTCGGCAGATTGCGCCGATGCGGGCGACTCCGTGCGTATGCGGGGCGATCGTGTTGCGATCGCCAGTAGCGAGGAGTCTAGCTCGCCCGCAAGATGGACGGATTGAAAAACTTGTTGGAAAGGCATTTTCATGCGGTTTTTTTCTTTCTTCCGCTTAATCCTCTTCAACGTACCTCACCTCACATCCCGCCCCTACCCTCCCCCGACCTCGCCCCCGACTCCGCCCCTCACTTCCCTGAATCCGCCCCATTACTTCATCACTTCTCCATAACGCCTTTCATCTCCCCGATTTCAGGAGGCACTTCCCTGAATCCGCCCATTACTATCCACCTTCTCCATAATCTTCTGTCTCCCGATTCAGGGAGATGAAAGGCGTTATGGAGAAGTGATGAAGTAATGGGGCGGATTCAGGGAAGTGCCTCCGCCATGCCCTCTTCCCCGCTACCAAGCCCCCCTCCGACACGCCCACTTCCTCCCGAAATTTTCACTTTTTCTCAAGGCTTTCCCACGGGTCCCACGGTCGCTTCCCGTTCTCAGCAGTGGTGTCATTTAGGTCCGTTGGTGCCCACTTCATCCCGTCTCACTGTGCGCCGCTCGTGCTACTTCCACTATTTCGGCATTCCCCCGTCCAATCAGTGGTGTGTCATTAGGTCCGGTCTGAGGCACTACGTCCTCAGTGTGTCATTAGGTTCCCAGCCACGCCCATATCCGAACCCGTCAAGCCCGCCCCCGTGACTCCGCGCAACATCTCTCAGATTTTCGTTTTTTTTATTCTGTTTCCCACAACCTTCCCCGTCCACCCTAATACTGGACGAAGGCCTGGTTTCATTAGTCGCCTGGGGCACTACGTCCCGCTGTGTGCGTTGCCACGCTCCCTTCCGTATGCCACCAAGCCTCGCCCCCTGACTCCGCCCACTTCATGAAAATTCACCACTTCTTCATGAGACTTGGCATTTTCACCTCCCACACTCCCAAACATCACTGCCCACGGAAGGTAGAAATTCATGAAAGCCTATGTGAAGTTTTAACCGGTGGGCATATTCTCGATCTAGAAGCCTGATCTATTAACCTCACCCCAGTTATTAATCAAATACCTTCACTGAGAGTACTAGTGGCGGAAGAAAGACGAACCTTAGTGAATACCTTTCCAAACAGTTTTCATTCCGTCACCTCTGGGCGCGAGCTGGCTCTTCCTACTGGCGATCGCCACGCTCCCCCCGTCGATCGCCGATCGCTGATCGCCGCGCACATTCGCGGCATCGCCGCTGCCTGTCGCGTACTTGGATTGAACACTGCCCTTAGCGGACGAAATATTGAAAGAAAACAAGCGACCGGTCAAAACCCCGTGAGAAAAGACTCGTTCTCAATAAGTCAAAAAACCCATTTAGGCGGTTGTCCCGTAGGCACCCTTGTCACATAACCTGCTTTACGGTATGATACCGGTTGCTGCTCTTTATCCAGCTCTCGTCCGTAATTTCAGCATCGTTGCCTGCTTAATTCTTTGCTGTGCCTCTCGAGATTTCTGTGCGAAATGTCTATTTTTTCAACGGTCTAGCTTTACTAAAGTGGTACGTTTTCTTTCAGAGCTGGACCATTGTTTTGAACATACCTGAATCAGGACGCAGGTAACATACCCTGCCAAGCGCCAGCCAGCTCTTAACAGCTCCGCTGACTTGTTCGAAACGCATGAAACTGAACAATATTGGGAGCACTGAGCAGAATTTCACCGCAAATCCGCTGTCGTAGCGAGCGCTAGTCAGTAGTGAATGAGACTACCGTATCGGTACATAGTTCACGGTAGCGAGCAAATACCCGTCCTGCATTAGATTTATCAAAGCCATGAGAGCCTGGATTGCTTACGTGTAAGCTTGCTTGGAAAGGTCTTCGTCCCATACCTTGACAAGAAAGAAACCTTCGAACCAAAAATGTTGGAGGTTCATTTGAGCGAACTGAGGGGAAGAGGTTCCCAGCATTTCTAGAACCCATCCTAGTTTCGCTCACTAAGAGGCTTCTACGCCCTATAAACGCATCTGAAAAAGCTACTAACCAATGTTTGTTGTTCCCGTAATGGTAATTTTCTTACAAGTACAGGCTACTAGCAGAAGTCTGGGACGCTGTCTGAAAAGTATTACTGTTCCCCTGAAAAATGCCAGGCGCTGTTTGCGCTTCAATCGAGACATCACTTCTCTGAGTTCCTTTGGACTTGTCCTGGTTGACTAATGAGCTTGCACATTAGACTTCGTAAACCGTTGCTGAGTGCTATTGTTCGAATGAGCCACTTCGCCCACTTGGTGGCCTTTACAAGGTTAGCTGAGTACCACACGTTTCCCCACCAAATCGATGTGCGCCATAAGCAAAAGTCTGATAAGGAAAGTGGACCTAATGTACCGCAAGGGTATAACAAAGAGTGCCTTCCGCTTGCGTGGATATTCATGAGGAAAAGGCACAGAATTGGGAGAGCAAGCAACATTTCGTTTGCGATGAAATCCTGCCACAGTCCATCTTTTTTGTAGCAGGTCCTCCCGTTTATATGGCCCTTGCAGCCATAACTTCCATCTACATATTTCATCATTGGGAATCCAATTCAAAAGTCTTTACTTCATTATTGTCTCCTTTTATCCATTGCCTCCGATAACAGTTTCTTCCATTGAAATCGGCTTTTTCAGTCGTTCAATTGCGTAAAACTCTTCCAAAGGTCTACGTTTATCCAGAGTGCTTATACAAAAAACAATGACAGAAACTGTTGGAAATGTGTTTTCAGGAATATCGAAAAACTTATGACTCATTGGCCCCTATAACGATTGCCCACCTATAAAAAGTGGATGGGCCGTGGCAGGATTCATCGCAACAAATGTTGCTCTGCTACTCACAATTCTGTGCATTTCTCGTCAACATGAATGCCTACGCAAACGGTAAGCCTTGTTGTTATACTCTTGTGGTACTTTAGGTCCACTTTCCTTATGGGGTTTTCGCTTACGGCGCACACCGGCTCTGTGGGGACACAGTATGATGCTTAGCTTAACTTGTCCAGTCCAGCTTGTGAAGAACCCGAAGCTCTTGTGGCCGAGGTGAATGACGCGAACAATTTCGCAGCTTCACAGGGGTTTACCAGTCTGACCAATGTGAAACCTGTTAGTTAACAGGAACAAACCAAAGAAACTGGGAAAATGCAGGATGTCCCCTCAAGGCAACAGTGCTCGCATTATCCACAGAGAACAAGCGTGTTTTCAGCGATTGCGTCCCAGACTTTCACCAGAAGCAGTTGTATGCAAAATTCCACAACGGCATTAACAACAATTTGGTTAGTGGGTTTTTTCAGGTGCCTTTAGAGGGCGTAGAAGACTGAGTAAGTGAAATTAGAAAGGATGCCATAAATGATTTTACGGATGCTTTTGGGAATTCTTTTCCCCTTATTCGTTTAAAGACATTTTTAATTTGAAGGCAATCTTTCGTTACAGGTATGGGACGAAGACCTTTCTGAGCGAGCTTGCGAGGAAGCATATGGTGAATTAGGCTCTCATGGTTTTGACAAACTTGAAGTAGAAAGGTTCGTCTCTGTCCACTTACCATGTTTATCCTTTATATTGCCTTCAGAACAATAGTGTTGTTAAGGGAGGTACCAAAATCACTCGTAAGATCGAGCAGAATTCAGCGTACCCTCATGCGTGCATATAAAGATAAAGAGGCACAAGTCAATGTCGTGAGTAATAGAAAGATCATTCATTTCACTTACTCATCGATTCATTTCTCCTCAAAAACTTTATTTCTTGCCACGAGAACAGCCACCAAAATGGCAACAAATGCAGGTTTCCTTCTTTTAGAGAATTTATTGTACCACTCCGCGTCAGAAATGAGTACTCAACATCTGACTGGACTACGCCACTATTTCCTGCATATTCTTTCTTGAACTGGCCTCTGGGCAGTTGGGAAGTGCTGTAGAACAAGCAGCAGCATCGGTGATATGTGGAATGAAAGTGTTGTTGCGACACAGTCCCCGCTCCCCTTCCCCGTCGCTAGTCAACCACTATTTCAGAAACTATCAAAACTAATAGTTGTGTGGTAGTTCTGCGGCGCTCGTAAACTAGGCAACTAACGAATAAGGGAGGAAATGGGCGAAAGCCAACAAATGGAAAAAAATTTCTTGCGGCGAAATGCTGTTAGTTGAGGCGAGTACGACCCCCTCAGCCGCAAGTGCTAGTGAATTAGAATTTTCTCAACGATGCTCTAACCTAATGGAGAGCTGAGTAATTAAAGAACTACTAAGGTGATGTCTTCTGATCATGGACACATTCAGGTACGCAATCTTCCTGCAGGCACGAAATATGGATGCAACGCCGTGGAAATCGGAGATAAAACGAAAGTTGTCTGTCTCTACGAGAAGCAGTGAACTGAAATTCTCTGCAGCTCCGTCGCACCTAACAAGCAGTACGCATAAAGATTTTCTCCTTTCCATGTTTGCTCTAGACAGGAGGCAGATACTGG